CCTCCCTCCCTCCCTCCCTCCCTCCCCCTCTGTGTACACCTGTAGGCCTTGTTGTAACTCCTTGGATAACATTCAGGAAAAGGCTGCAAGGAGGAACAGTGGTGTGGTTGGTGGCCTTAGATGACGACAGGGCTCAGGTGGGTGACAATGCTTTGTGTCGCTTCCCCTTCTCTTCTGTGATGATAGATCGACCTAGAAACACGTTCCTAAAGCGTCAGGAAACCTGCACACTCCCAAACCCACTAAGCAGAGAGGCGGTGAGGTCATTAGAAATGACCTCAGTGTACACTTTCACTCCTTCTAGTTGTAACTTGTCCTCACCCTGAGGTGTGTGTGCCAGGCTCAGATTGTCTCCTCTGCTACACTTGCCTTGTGGCAGTTATAAAAACATGCTCCTCAGCCCTTCCTTTAGGAGAATCTCGGAGAGATGTGTAGCTTGGCTAATGCTCCCCGAGTGCTGTCCTTTTGAATCTGGAGCTAAGACTCTGCTCTCTTAGGGCATTCCAAAGCAGTGGCTGACTGAGGAGGTCATGAAGCCAGCTCTTCCTACCCAGAGCAGGGTTCTTACAAGGCCTTTGCTGAGCTCTCCACTACATAGCTCTCTGCCAGACTGTTTCTTCAATTCCATCTCCAGGAGTCCGAAACTCTACAGTGTCCAGTTCAATAAGCTAGCTCTAGCAGGGAAAGGGATGTGACTACCTAAAGAAGGTAGCCTTTAAGAAATACTGGTGTTTCCCTTTAACTGATGCTAGAATACTTGTGCATGGATACATAGTCATTGGCTCTTATCCTCATGGAGAGCTCTGTTTCAGAATGTTTTGTTTTTGTTTCTTTTTTATATATATTTATTTAATTTTTTAGTGTGTGTGTGTGGGGGGGGGCGTGTACAGCATGTATATGGAGTCCAGAGGACAACCTGCCTGTTCTTTCCTTCTATCGTGTGGGTCCTTGGGATTGACATCAAGTGGCCAAGCTTGGTGAGAGGTTCTTTTACCTACTGAGCAATCTGGCCAGTCTGGTAGTGAGTCACATACATTGAATATCATTCCAGTTACATACATTGAATATCATGTCAGCTCACCTGGTGGGAGCTTGGAGAGGCAAAACAATAGTAATAGTGCTCTAGAAGAGAATGTATGAATATTCATGCTCAGTCACATACACAGAAGTTTGCAAAGTTCTACATGTTGAAAAATGCAAAATTAGCTACCGATCCATTTGGGCCAGCCTCTCCCATAAGTTACTTGAATTGTTGTGCTCTTCAGAACTTATCATGTAGCTGCTGTGGATATCGCTCTATATAAATAAAACACTGATGGCCAGTGACCAGACAGGAAGTATAGGCGGGACAAGGAGAGAGGAGAATTGGGGAAACAGGAAAAAGGAGGGAGAGACATTGCAGCCACCACCAGGACAAGCAGCATGTAAAGACGCCGGTAAGCCACCAGCCACGTGGCAAGGTATAGATTTATAAAAATGGGTTAATTTAAGATATAAGAACAGTTAGCAAGAAGCCTGCCATGGCCATACAGTTTATAAGTAATATAAGCATCTGAATGATTATTTTATACATGGATTGTGGGACTGCAGGGCTTGGTGGAACCTGGAGAGAAGCTCTCCAGCAACATGTAGCTGAAGAAGGCTTTGTGTCCCTTTTGCAAGAGAAGAATCTTCACTTATTAATCCTTTGCCTTTGTGTCAAGCATCATATAGATCTTGAGTACTCCACAGGTGTTGATTTATTCTATTTTATCTTCAGCATTATAGGTAGATTTTTTGGGCTCAATTTATATGTGAAAAAGTGTATTTCAATTAAAAGCTTGTCCAAGACCCAGCAAGGAGCATATAGAGAAGTTGTGAATCTTTAGATTTTTTGAGTAATTTTGTCTGCCTCAAAAATTACTGTTCCTAACCACCACATCACATTGCTTGCTTGTGTATGGTGTTATATAGTCCTGACCACATACAACGGGATGTAATGGGACAAGTCTTGCCTAAAAGTCAGGCGGCTTGGTAATTAGCACAGACTCTAGCTCTTAGTGTTTGACCTCTTTGAACTTCTAGCTCTTCACACACGCAATGAGTTTAGCCTAATATAACTCACCCGATGGATTAAATTAAAATCAACGTAAGGGTAAATTTCGCAATCACGCTTTGAAGAACAGGGGACGATGATGCAATGGTAGTGATGTTGATGACAAGAGTCATTGCGGTCACTGGTGCTTCAGAAAAGTCTTAGGACTCTCAGCAATTGCTCCCTTGGCAATGAGCTGGATAGATGCTTCATCTCCCTTGGGCAGCTTGGTGCTTGAGCTCCGGAGAAGGGATGGGCCGTTGAAATGATGGAGGGAAACAGGCCACGGTACCATGGAACTTAGGAAGGCAGAACAGTCAGTTCTGCATGGGAATGTTTCTCTGAAGATTCCATTTGCTCGTTCAAATAGATAGTTACACAGACAGGCAAGTATGGACATCTACACACATACACATACATGCACTGGGTATATTAGGGTTCTCTAGAGTATGTATAGGGCTTTTTGGCAGGCTTTTGCTCCTAGCTGCTGTGGCATTTCTTGGTTGGCTCTGGGCTATATGTCATCATTTTCCAGTTTGGAATTTACAGGTCAGATTTCCTCTGGCCAGAGTGTTTTCTGTGCATGTCACAGCTCATTGTTTGCTTAAGGTGTGGCCCAGTGCTTCTGGCTTACCTGCCTCAAAGTTATAGAATAAATCTCTTTATATACACATTTCAACACATAATAAATCTTTATATATACTTATAAAACTTATTAAATTTTATTTATTAGATTTACTAAATTTTTACTTTTACTAAATTTTAATTTACTAAAATTTTATTTATTAAATTTAATACAATCACTTACAGGCTACAGTCCAACTAATTTGATAAAGGAAGGCTATGAACAGAAAGTCCATGAATCCAGAAGTTCCTCAGTCCACAAGGCTGGATGTCTCAGCTGCCCTTCGGTAGATGCTGAAATTCCAAAGAAGAATTTCTGTGCCAGTGAAGGAATTGACTTGCTAGCAAGGCCAGAGAAAGCAAGCAAAGAGCAAAAGCTTCCTTCTTCCACATCTGTATATTGGTTTCCAGCAGAAGGTGTGGCCCAGATTAAACATGTGTCTTCCCACCTCAAGATCCTGATCAAAGGTGTGTGTCTTCCTACCTCAAAGATCAGGACGAAAATTGGATTCACTCACTTCAAACCAAGCAAAAATAATCTTTCACAGATGTGCCCTCCATTTCTGGGTTGTAGTTCATTCCAGATGTAGTCAAGTTGACAACCAAAAAAGCCATCACATCAAGAAAGACAGACTTTGAATCTTTCAGACTTAAATGGCTATAATCCTTGGAAATGAAGCTATTGTCTGTCTGGCACAGTGTTGTTTACAACTATGGGTCAAAGTATCTTTTCCTCAAATGTCTGCAGTATTATTTCTCCTAACATTGCTGCCCAGATCCTGTCATTAGTCTTTGGGCCAGTAAGGGACACTTGATGAATGAGACAGGAGAAAAGTTTCTGTATCATGAAGGGTGTGTTGCAAGGGCCATAGAACAGAAGCCTTGCTGGGCAGTAAAGAGTCACATAAAAAGAGGTGCTGGGTGATCCTCTGATGTCAGAGATGAGGCTGGAGTCAACACCTTTTCTTTAGGTCGAACTAGAGAAAGAGATACAAGATGCATGGGTCAAGTGAGGTGGGGCTATGGAGAGTCAGGATCACACTGAACAGAACAGGCTGAGTCTAAATTCCGAAGCAGTGGGTGGCATCCAGGGTGGGAACTCAGCAAAAGGAGGCTAGGGCCAGAAAATAGAGATTTATTGATGGGAAACAACATCTCCGAATCTTGAATAGAGAGGAAAGCCATTCAGCCCCATATAACAACTTGCAGACCCAAGCAAGACATGAGAATTGGTTTGACCTCATTTGGAAACTAAGCTCTTCCCATTTAACTCATTGTGCAGCAGGAAATAAGTTGCCCGCCCAACAGATAAAATCTTACTTTGTAGGGTCCTTGTGAGATGTATAACATATTAGATGATGTTTCTAGAAGTGATCCATGCTTCATAAAGGTTGATGGTGATAACAAACTGTCTCAGAAAAGGGACTATCTTTTTCTCTAGACATAATCATTCTGAGAGAGTAGAATAATGTCTTTATGGATGAGTGCCCTCCAGAGAAAGGCAAAGTTAGTATATTAGTTACTTTTCTCATTGCTGTGACCAAATGCCCAATGAGAAACAACGTAAGGGGGGGAGGTTTATTTTGATGCACAGTTCAGAAAAGTGGAGTCTATTATGTGAGGGAAGGCCTGGGGGTGGGAGCCTTAGCCAAGAAGTAGAGAAAGATGAATGAATGTTGAAACTTCTCTCGATGGTATAATACTGCCAAACTTTAGGATGGGCCTACTAAACCTCCTTGGAAACACCCCAGAGGTATGTCTCCTAGCTGGTGGTTAGAAAATCTACCAAGTTCACAATGAAGATTGATTTAGTTTAATTGTCAATTTAATACAGCCTACAATCATCTTATTGGAAAGTCTTAATTGAGGAGTTTCCTGGATCGGATTGGTCTGTGGGCACATCTGTGTGGTACTGTCTTGCTTGTTAATTAATGGAGAGGAGCTGAGTCCACTATGGGCAGCAACATCTCTCGGCAAATGGTACTAACCTGGCATAGTGGAGTTCATCCATAGTTGGGGGTGGTATAAGGTGGAGGATCCCCACATCAGGGTGGTTCAGGAAGTAGGAACTGGGGTCAGAACCAGGGTTTGGATGACAGCCTTCAAATTCCTACCAACCTGATCCTACCTCATAAAGGAGCCACAGCCTACCAAAATAACACCAAAATACCACTAGCCAGGGATCAAGCATTGAAAACATAAATCCGTTAGGGGAAACTGGGGTTCCCATTTGTGGATTCCTAGTCTTGCATAAATAAAAGAAATGAGAAATGGACGTGGGAGGAAGTTTGAGGACAACTCTATTGGAGTTAGAGAGAACCACCACAGCACAGGACGCAGTAACTCTTGGCTCGGGGAAGTGGAGAAGAGGAGAGGAAGCCACTGCTTCTGCAGTGGGGGTTGGTAAACAACACCCCAGAAGTGAGGCTGGGCTGCACTTCAGAGAATGAGTTATAAGGCCAGGACCACCAATATCTGAAAGAGAAAGGAATGGAAAGGCTAAGTTTTTCAGAATTGGGATACAGCAGGCATGGCAGAGCGGGGCGGAGTGGTGGCGGTAGGGGTGGGGAGGTCTCCACAGCATTGACAGAAGCTCTGTGAACAGTTGTCCCAAAGCAGGGGCTTCTGGAAAGGAATCGTCCTATATAAGGAGCCAACGAATTCTCCCTGGCCCTTTGTCTTGCTTCCCGCTGAGTGGAATCATCAGGTGTAGCAGTTGGGATAACTTGGAAGTGCGTTGGTGGGGGGTCCCATTTGTAGAACAGCTAGGGGTGGCTAGAAAAGGGAGGAGTCCTTGGTTGGCACCTGGATGGAGATGTGAGGGAGAAAGAATAAAAGCAGGAGTGGTCAAAGAGAAATAGACATTAAATAAGGTGGGAGTGCAGAGGGCTTAGGGCGTCCACTATTGGAGACTTACAGGCCTAGGAGAGGCATCAATGGAAACTCGATAGATGACATTAGATTCCTACAGGACTATCTGAGTGTTAGTTGACTGTAAATAGGAGATAAAATAAAATCAGCAGTTAATTACACAAGGTCCAAGATTAATAGAATTAGTTAATAGTATAACAAAATAACCCATTTTTTTTTAAATTATAGAAATCCAGAGATCTAATTCTAAAGCTGTTGACTCGTAGGATAGTGGTATTGGTGTAGTCTCAGTCTGATTTTGCAAATCTTATAAGGCAAGGGAGCCATTAGCAGAAATGGAGGACATAGATATGCAGCACTTTGTTTACAGCTAGGGAGAGCATGGGAGTCCTTTAACCTGATTACAACTGGTTACCCTACCTGGCATGTCAACAATCATATTTGGGGTACAATGGAGAAGCCTTCAAGGGATTGGGTCACCATCTTTTGTTGTTTTATTTTTTTTAATCTAGTTTGGTCTTTTAAAAATATACTATTTCCAATCATTTTGAATATTTTGGTTACATTTTCCTACTCAGTGTTTAAGAACATATAAGCAACCAAACATGTGTGTGTGTGTGTGTGTGTGTGTGTGTGTGTGTATGTGTGTGTGTGTACACATACATGTGTATATGTGTGTTAAGGCCAGTTGAGGATCTGATCCTCAGGGGTCATTTGGACTCAGGAGGCGTCTCTAAGTCCTTCAGCCTTTCTTTATCACTAGTCCTGTAGCCTGTTGTGGTTGAGTCAATGCCTTGCTGACTGCAACTTCCTTCTCTGTCTCTTCACTCACCTCTTTGCAGAATGTACACTGTCTATATCCCCATACTCTCTGGTCAAGAGGACAGCTAACTTTCCAGAGCTTCAGGACCCTTGAGAGACATCCTACATTTCCTGGGAGTAAACTGACATTGGAAGGCAAGGGCCAAAATATTGGTCCTCTTGGCCCCCAAGTATGCTTACTGAACAGCCAGAAGGTCAGTTACACCTGAATTGAACAATGAGTTATGCTTAAAATTTAGCTATTGTATAACACTTTGATAAAGCTGGACAGAAACAGATTTTTAATAAACCTCACTTACAACTCAGTTTCTTAGTTGGAAGTCAGACACTCAGAAACTATAAACAAGAATTTCTGAAACAAAACTGAAGCCATAGGCCTAAGTTATGTTTAAAAATCTTTAGGTTCTGAGAGTAGCAGAACCTGGAGCAGTGATTTTCAACATGTAGGTTGTGACCCCTTTGGGGGTCAAGTGACCCTTTCACAGGGGTTACCTAAGACTATTGCAAAACACAAATATTTACATTATGATTGACAACAGTAGTAAAATTACAGTTATGAAGTAGCAAGGAGATAATTTTGTGGTTTTTTTTGGGGGGGGTCACCATAACATGAGAAACTGTTTTAAAGGGTTACAGCACTAGGATGGTTGGGAACCACTGGCCTAGAGGATCATCTACCAGATGAGGTCAATTGTCCATGACGGTAAAGTTGCACCATGGAGCAGAAGCCACCAGGCCCTGAGAGCCACTTTATCTTTCAAGCAATAGGGATTTTTAAAAGCACTCAATAGAATCAGAGATGAGGCAATGATTTACCAACCAATCACTTGACTGAAGCTATTTATCTGACTGTTTGTTGTTGTTTTTAAACTTTTAACTACACTACAAACTACAATGGATTTGGGCTTACTTGGCAGTTTTAATTAACGTGACCATTTACATATACACCACTTTGTACCATAGGAACAATATAAAATACAAGCATAAAATATATGGCACATAAAATATATGTGCATATACATATACTATTTACTATATATAAATATACATAATATGGGAATATTTTTTACACTATTTATATAACTATATACAAAGAGACTTTGAAAAAAATCAAAGATTTTGTATTGCTTTTCAGTTTTATATTAGACTGTTGGGCAGACAACATAATAATAGCATTAGCAATCCTTAACAAAAAAATCAGTATTTTTAGACATGATTTTTAATATAAAATAGGAGACTTTTGATCTTAAAGACATTGAGCCTGACCTGATTATTGGTGAGGGTTTAAGTAGGGTGAGCAGAAATCAGCATCTTCGTTTTTAAATGGCATCTTTAAGTTAAATCCTAGAAAGCCAATCTTTGAATGATGAGCACACAGGCAATTGTTTTTGCCTCTTAGTGTTATAGCCTTAAGTTAAATTTTACCTTAGAAATCTAAGGTATTAGTTACTAGTATTATCTTAATACTCATTCTCAATTACATGTAGAGTAAGTTTACTAGATTTTTAATTTTACTGTTTATTGGTATTGCATAGACTGTAACTCTCAACATGAACTGGAAACTTAACAGAGATATTTGACAAATACATATATCTCTCATCTTACATGTAATATAGCTATTTATAAAGACCTTGTACTTAACATTTGCATACTAAGAATATTCTTGCAAAAGAAATAAGACATAGCAATTAGTCCAACAAGGACTTACTATATATTACACAGAGACATGCCAACTAACATCAAACACCTTTATGTCCTATTATTTTTGTTACTCATGAATGCTACACATGAACTAATTAAAAATTAAATTAAAAAGTAATAATTTTAAGAATATGTTTGGGAAAGAAATCATCATTAAATATCTGTGTCCAATGTCAAATCTTGTAATCTAATAAGATTTTTATCTTATTATTCCAGTGAATTTTGTTTTATATAAACAAATAGCATTTACGATTTTTATGAAACACTTAATAGATCCACAAATCCCATTTTGATATGTCGTAAGAAGGTAAATGGATCTGTTTCTAAGTATATACTTAGAAGGCTTTTAAATGTATTACCAAAGCATTTCTATTTGCATATTCTCTCACACACATTTAAAGTAGGCAATCAAAATATTAATTTTTTTTAAATGTTGAAGCACAGAATAAATGAATGAAAGAAAATAATCAAAGTGGACTCAGGTTTGTTTCTCAGTTATTTTGGGAAATTCTAGGGGCCGTTGAATTTCATTCCATGCTATCCCAACATAGAACGACATACAAGCAATTACATGAAAATACACATTGTGATGGATATTTTTGTTGTTCACTTGACTATGTCTGGAACGAACTAAAACCCAAGCAGCTGGGTATGCTGTGAGGGTTTTTTCCTTAATTAATTCTTTTGAAGTAGGAAGACTCACTTTTACCCCAGGTCTTTTGAGGTGGGAAGACACCAGTTTGATCAAATATTTTGAGGTGGAAGGATTCACTTTAAATCTGGGCCACACTCACAGCTGGCAGGTTATATAACTGACACGGGAGAAGGAAGCTTGCTCTCTTTACCTGCTTACCCTCAGTATTGCTTGGAAGCTCATTCCTTCACTGACACTAGAGCCCACTTCTTCAGGATTCCAGAATATACTGAAGACCAGCTGAGACGTCCCACCTCGTGGGCTGAACAACTACTAGATTCTTGGACTTTCTATCAGTAGACAGCCATATTGGACTAGCAAGATCACAGCCTGTAAGCCATTCGAACAAATACTCTTTGTATATACGCACAAATACATACATACATACATATATTCTATAAGTTCTGTTCCACACACAATGCGGTTATATCCATGAGGAAATAATTCCATCTCCAATTATCATCAGAGGGAATGACATTAGTTTTTGGGGGATCTGCAGAGCTGAAATTTGTTTATCAGTCTGCCTTGAGTAGCTTCAGCACCACAAGGTGGTTATGTCAGGAGTGGGTTCTTCCGGTCTCTGTCGTTTAACAAGAAGAAGACAGTGTTCAGCAGTCAAGTCTGTGGGGCCTAAGCTTTCTTCATCCCTTACTGAAACTTCCTGAGCTAACATAGCTATCTGAGTTAGGAAGATTTAGGAAAAGTCTTTTGAAGGAAAAAGAGAAAGAAAAAAAGAGCAGTAGACTTAATCTGAAGAGAAGTTTCACCCATTTGGGAAGGGAGTACAGAGAAGACAGGAACCTGCCATGGAATGGGGGCCTCAAACCCCGGTTTTTGGAAGCCCAGATAAGATTTGAGAGGATCAAAATAGGAAACACACAGAGATGTGACTGGTGGTGGAGAAGATTTCCATCTATCTATCTATCTATCTATCTATCTATCTATCTATCTATCTATCTATCTATCTATCATCTATCATCTATCTATTAGGATCTATGGTTGAAAAAGAACATGGACACTAATTGTTTCTGAGGGTTGAGGCATTTTTCTTTGGGAGAGCGCTGTAGACAAGGGGCACAAGGAATTGTGATTCCTGGTGTGTCCTATAGTGTTTAGAGTCCTCTGTACTTTTTTTATACTCATCTATCCCAGTAGACAGCCATGAAGGACTGTACATAGGCACTTTAGGTCATTTCTCTTGATGTTTATAAAATAGGTTCCCATGTGGAATAGTATTAGAGTTTAAAATTTTTGTTTTAACCAAAATTTTTCCTCTCCTAGCTTGTAGTAAAGCCAACTAATATTCAAATAAAATATTAGCCTCTTTTTCTTTAGATTCTCAAGTTCAGACTTACAGCAACTGATTTTTTGAAATTGTATTGTTTGAGAATTTCATACACGCGTATAATATGATTTCAAATCTACCCCCACACCTTCCCTTCCAATCCCTCCTATACTGCCCCATTCCTTTTCTCTTTCAAAATCATATACACTTCTTAAAAAAAAAAAAAAAAAACACCAAGGCCAGTCAGTGTTGGCCGTTTATGAATGGGCATAGGACCAACCAATCACTGAATCTTGGGAAACCTATCAAGAGATGTATCGTTTTCTTAAGGTCTAACACTTAAGAGAATGTCTTATACCATGAATCATCTCTGTGTCTAATGAGACATAATTGTCTACAGGAAAATGCAGAGCAAAGAACTGAAAGTAGTTGAATACAGTAATCCTGAGAAAAGAAAGAACCATTGTTTTAGCTTGATATGAATCCTTTATTTTTCAGAAAGAGTTTACCCTTTAGGCAGAGAAACAGGACATTACTCAGTCTAGCTTTCCTGTTTCTGTGATCCTGGTAGGTGTCTCAGAATGCAAAGAGAAATAAAGGAAAAATCAGGAAATGACTGGGATGTATGAATGAAGGCTAATGTCACAGTAAGATCTAGGGCTATAGTGAGAATCTGGGAATTCAGCAGCATCAGGAAACTTAGGCAGTCGTGTGAGTATACTAGTTCCTTTTGTTTTAATGTGTTAAAATATCCTAATAAGAAGCAGCTTAGAGGAGAAAGGAATTTATTTTGGTTTACAGTTCCAAAGAGATGAAACCCACCATGGCAGCAAAGACATGGCAGCAGGATCAGGGGAATATTCTGAAAGCCAGGAAGCAGGGAGATCACATTCTATCTTACAAGAAGCAGACAGAAAGAAAGGAAATGGGGCCAGGCTAGAAAACCAAGAGTCCTGCCCCTGTTCACATACTTCCTCAAGCAAGGCTCCACCTCCTAAAAATTCCATAACCTGCCGGGCGGTGGTGGCGCACGCCTTTAATCCCAGCACTCGGGAGGCAGAGCCAGGCGGATCTCTGTGAGTTCAAGGCCAGCCTGGGCTACCAAGTGAGTTCCAGGAAAGGCACAAAGCTACACAGAGAAAGCCTGTCTTGAAAAACCAAAAAAAAAAAAAAAAAAAAAAAGTTCCATAACCTTCCCAATCAGTGCCACTACCTGAAGACCAAATGTTGAAAGACATGAACCTATGGAGGACATATCTCACTCAGATCACCAGAGTGAGCATAACCATTTTGGCTAGTTACATCATGGCTTCTATCTTGGCTAGTGGTGTCATCAGCCACATCTTGGTTAGTGGTACCAGGGTTCCCATTTTGGCTAGTCATGTGCTTCTTGTCATTTTGGCTAGTTACATATTTTTCTGTCGCAGGAAATGGCAACTACTAGGTAACATGGTCCTAGCTACCATCAGGGCATAAGTCCCCATGGGATCCATGCACCTCATAGATAAAATGAATACAGTCATTCCTTTGTAAGAAAATGGGCAGCTGATTTAGGAGATGTTACATGTGTGGCCAGGCAAAGTGGTCAGAGGTATGCAGGCACAAAATAACCAAACAAGGAGACAGAAAGCAGTAAGAAAGTTCATGGCCCCAATCCAAAAGAACGGATTCCATATGTCATACCACCCGTGGTAACCAGGGACACCAAACTTCTATCTGGACCTCATTTTCATCTTCTGTGGCTGATAGGTCTAAGGCCCTGGATATGGTCCTTCCCGTAGCCTCTGAGGAATTTCTTTAGTAGTTCTTTGTAGTTACCATAGGTTGTGAGGAAAGTCAGAGTTCCCTTTCATGTGTTCACAGCCTTGTTAACAAGGGAATTTAGAAACTGACCTGGAAAACTCAAGGACAATATTATTAGAATTTAGGAGACAAATAAAGTTGACAGTCTGTAAATCTCCTTCAGAACTGCCCAGAATAGGGAGCTCAAGGAGGAGAGAGAAAGTCACGCCTTCTGCAATGGAGGTGAGCAGGCAGCAGCTTGTTGGAAGGTGGCTGGGGTGAGGGGCGGTGCTCCAAATGAACAAGAAAGTATCCTCGGGCTTCTGTTGGTATCTGAAAGAAAAGACAGAGAGAAGAGGGGGAAAGGGAGGAAACATCTTTCTGAATGTGGCTCATAATAGCAGGCCAGCCACATGGGCAGAGGCCCCATGGTGCCAGCTGATAGAAGGTCCGCAAGCAGGAGTGTCTTCTGCAAGGAAAACATTAGCTCATTAGGAGGGTCCTTAGTCCTCCCTCTCCTCAGCAAGTCTTCAGGTGGCTCTGGGTTTCCTCTACACGTGGACTCCTGTCCAGGTAATCGATAGGTCCAGCTGTATTAACCATTAAAAAGGAAACAGAAATATGTAATGATTTGGGTCACCATGCAGGGCTAGAGGCAGAACATAGATTCACTCTTTGAACAGAAAGGAAATAGCTTTGCTTTGAGGATGTAGCGTAGCTGTGCCTTAAAGGGCCTCAAGGAAGTCCAGACTCCTTCATCTTTTCATATGTTTCCCCTGCCCCCGGTCAGGGTTTCTCTGTGTAATTTCGGTGCCTGTCCTGGATCTCGCTCTGCAGACCAGGCTGGCCTTGAACCACTGGCCTTGAACTCACAGAGATCCGCCTGTCTCTGCCTCCCAAGTGTTGGGATTAAAGGTGTGTGCCACCACCACCCAGCCTCCTATGGTAATATAAACTCAAAAAAGGGGGTGGAGTCCAAAGCCATAGCCTCTAAAACCATTGTAAAGAGACCAAAGAGAACCATTTCAGATTCAAGACAAAACATTCTGCCCATTCTCTCAAAGTCTCATGCCCATCTAAAACAAAAACAAACCTGCATTTAACCAGACTTCAAAAATCCCCATAGTCTTAACAGTTCCAACACTCTTCAAGAGTCCAAAGTTGAAAGTCTGTTCTGAGACTGGCAAACTGTGAGTCCCTGTAAAATATAAATCAGAGTTATATACTTCCCTTAGTCAGTGGCAAAGAGTAAATGTTCCCATTCCAAAAAGAAAGAACAAGAAGATAGGAAGAGAAAATTAGAAAAAAGTCAAGATAGTAACAAGAAGGACAACCAACAATGCACAGAACCTGGAGTTCTGTGTCCAGCATCTGGGATACATGGCAGCACCAGCTGAATCTGAGTGGGCTTGTGCAGCCCTGCCTCTGTGGTCTTGCCACCTGTAGCGCACAAGGTCCCTCTCTTTAGGCCAGCTCTGTTCCTTGCCTGTCTATTGGTTCAGCACATGTTCCACTTTGCTTGGCCTCTCCAATATCCTGATAGCCAGCGTAACTCAGGCCTCATTGTCAAAAGTTCACACACTGTCCTGGCAGTACCTTTGTCTCTCTAAAGGAAGTCCAACCCTGCCACACACTCCCTGGCTTCCTAGACCTTCCTCACAAATCTGGGAACAAGCTCCCACGATTCCCAAACTCCTGTATTCGTCTTACCTTAGTATTCAACACTGTGTGGATACCATCGGATTCCATTCTGAGTTCTTTGGGCCATGGATGCAGAAGCTTATGTCTACCTGGGTAGGGTAACTAACCTGGGTAGAGAGCTCCCTAGGTGGCCTTGTTCAATAAGCAGGGCAAGCCTCATGCTCCCTCTTTCTAGTGTGCTTTTAGTTTCAGCCCCTGGAAGCTATAATGGATGAGGTGCCACTGTTACTTAAAATACTCCCAGCTCATCTTCCTCCTTGTTCAGTGGCAATTATTTGACTTTTTTTTTTTTAAATGATGTTAATTTCTTTAACAGTAACGATTTTTTAGCCTACAGCTTTAAACTTGCTGGCACTTCTTTCTTGCCAGGCTGCACATGTCTTTCCGCTCCAGTTTCTGCTCTGGATTCTCACCATGATCCCATTACTACCGCTAAGATTAATCAGCAATAACCAGGCAGGCCACTCACTACCTTAGGACTCTGCTGTCGTGACATCTCCTCCACCACATCAGTTCTTCCCAGTTTACTTCAACCTCACTTGAATTTTTAGAACATGGGTAAAATACAGACAAATTCTTTGCCAGATTGTAACAGTAACAGCCCTTTATTCCAGTTACCTTTAGACCAATTATTCCCACCTGAAATCTCATAAACCAGCTTCTCACTGTCTGTATTATTATTCATATTTTTGTGTTCCAAAAGTTTGCCAAAATTGCCCATTAAGTTGCTTAAAATATTCTAAGATTTCTCTAGGCTGCATCTCGTCCAAATTCTCCCCACAAACCAGTCTCAAAGGCCTAAGAATCATGCAGTCGATTTAGTCAAAGCAATGACGACACTTCTCTGGAACCAATTTTGTGTATTAATTATTTTTGCATTGGTAAGAACAAAATACATGATAGAAACAACTTACAGGGGGAATTCTCTAGTTTCAGAGCATCCTGGTCCATTTCACGGAGCAAAGACAGCAGAGTCCATGGAGGGGAACATGTGGTAGAGGGTCCTTACATTACGGTGGGCCAGCAAGGGGAGAATGAGCCCCAAAGTGGGGGCCGAACTGTGGTTCACAAAGGCTCATTCATAGTGACCTACTTCTACCAACTGGGTTCTGCTTTCTTAATGCTGTGTAGCTTACCAAAAAAAGAAACATCAGCTAGAGAATAAGATTTCAAATGTGAGCCTCCACAGGACATTCAAATTCAAAAAGTAAGAATGGTAGTCCAACTTTTGTATATTTCTATCTGGAGAGCTTATTGCAATTTTTTTTTTTGCATCTTCTTAGGAAGTTTTCCGAAGTCAGGGGTGATAACTTACTCATCTATGTATCTCTGATAGCTTTGTGAATGAATAAAGCTTAGAAGGGGGACTTAATAGATGAATGACTATATGAGTGAGTAAATGGGTGAGTGAATGAATGGGAAATAAGTGAAGTCAGAAACAAAAAGATGCTTCTCAAATGCTTTGAAGTAGGTCTGCTATGGGAGTGTCTACCTATCCCTGTTGCACCTCTTCACTGCTCAGAACTTGGAAGTTTCTGGATTATATTCCTGTATATGTTGCTCCTTTCTAAATGGGAAGTCAGAATTGGTACACAGGGAAAGGTCATATTGATTGTGAAATAAGAGGAGGATACACATGTGCGAATGTTAAGAAGCTAAGTAGGAATGATGAACATGTACTCAGTCAAGAATACAATCCAAATACAACATATAGTTTTGGGGTCATCTGAAAGCAGTAATGGTGAGAGTCATTAGAAAGCCCAAGGGTGCTGAGCCAGAAATAGAAAATCAGAGCTCAGGATGGAACTTTGGGGGAACATTGGAGAGAATAACAATTAGTTGAAGGTGGTCAGTGAAAGAGTTGAAACTTCCTTGATCTAGAAGCCATGGATAAGATACTTGAGGTGAGGAATAATTAATGGAGTCCAATGCTAGGAGGAAGCAGGGGGAGATGAGGGCCAGAAGTAAGCGGCTGGACTTGATGCTTAGGTGATTACCTAGGAAGCTAGGTGGCTTGGGGTCATTGTGTGAATGTGTGGGTAAGGAAAAAGTGAAGCAAGCAAATGGAGAACCTGAAAAAAAAAAAAAAAAAAAACATTGCCTACAGAAGAAAGACCTGCACATTTACATAGACCAGAAAGGAGAAACCTGAGCTGAGAAGGAGTGAGGGGGAGGGGCTGGCCAGTTAAAGAGTTAGAGACCCTAGTACAGCCAGGTCTCACAGACCGTGGAAAGGGCTCAACTGCCCAAGATGGAGGAGAGGAGAGACTCTTCAGAAAGTCAGAAGGTGGAGGATATGGAGACCACTTCAGCCTGTGGAAAATTAGCCTCATGATGGCAGAACAGAACATCTCATTTTAAGTCATTGCCGGCTAAGTGTAGACTTTCAGCCACGCTCTCTTGCTCACAGTCTCCAATTCAGATCCATTCTTATGGAAGAGAAAGAGTTACAAAACTATTAAGACTATTGTCCAAAAAACTATCAAGGCAGCATTTTTTTGTTCATCAATTCAGATTTAAAATTTAATTTCATGGTAGAATGAGCCCTCACACAGTTCTATCTATTAAGGTCACCCACTCGGAGTTCACGAGCTCACTCTGGGCATTGAGGGTTGTAAAGCTCTGTAGGAGATAAGAACCATGCCTTCCTCTTTCTCAGTAGTCACAGTCTTCATGTGACTCCAGACTCGCTGACATACCTGGTGAGGTTTAGCACCCCATCCAGTGGTCCTGTCAATGCTTCCTTACTAACCATCTTAACCAAACAAACACAAACATTCTACAAGGGCCTCTCCAAGCTTTGAAGCCAGGAGAAGGGGAAGGGAATAATTGAGGCTGCCTTTGTTTCAGAAAGAGGCACATGTACTTTGTTTGAATTCTTGGCTTAGTTCTTCACTTCTTTCCCTAAAATCACCATTTCCTCTTTGTGCTACTCAGAACACAATGGCCAGAACCCACTCAGCTTTTATAGTACTTATTATTATTGCAGTAATGAATCGTTAATTGGTTACATTCTTTTCTGTCTTCTACCCAACATGAGTCTAGAATTTTCCTTGAGGACAGTGTCGTAATTAGGAGGTTGAATTGTAATTGACCTGAAAATGCATTCACATCTGAAGTTAAATGAATATGGGCACATACATAGACAAATGATACCAATGTACATATTATGTTACATATCTATACAACACACATATAAAATATCACAAAATATCTTTGTGGCATGTATATATTTATAATAGTTATATAAGAAAGGTCATGCAGAAGCAGTAGACACTCACCCCTTTCAAAGCACACCTGTAATTCAGTTATCTAAAATTCAGCATTTGCAGAGACTTGACTTGGGTTAGCAATGAGACTTAACAGAGAAGGAGGGAAACCAGATCTGGGAAAGTTCTAAAACCATCCATCAATGCAATCTAGGGAGTTATTGAGAACTGACCATCATCCCCTTCTCCTGCTCCCACTGAATCTGAACTCCCTCTGGGTAGCTGACCTTTCTTCACTTCTGCAACAGCACAGGGTATGTGTGTTTGTGTGTGTGTGTGTGTGTGTGTGTCTGTGTCTGTGTGTCTGTGTGTCTGTGTGTCTGTGTGGTGTGTTCACAAGAGTGCACACTAGTAGAGATCAGAAGCTGATATCAGGTGTCTTTCATCAATTGCTCCCCACCTTCAGTTTATTCATTTACAGTGTTGGGAACTGAACTTGGGGCCTCACACAGGCTAGTCAAGCACTCTATGGCCAAACTGCTGTATTCCCAGATCCACCTTTTTTTTTTTTTTTTGAGACAAGAGTCTCTTACTGAACCTGAAGCTTCTTGATCCAGCTAGGCCAGCTGGCCCATGTTCAAATCTCTACCTGTCTCTGATCCCGCATCACTGGGTTACACACATGGGCCGCCATGCCTGTTTGCTTGTTAGGTAGTTTTAAACGCGGGTTCTAGAGGTCCACACTCAGGTCCTCACCCTTGTGCAGCAAGCACCTCACCAACTAAGCCATCTCCCCAGCCTTACAGCAGAACTCTACCCATTTTTAAACTAATTTGAAAAAGGAGAGAAAGCTAATTCTGATGTTTTTGTTATACATAGAGCTTTGAGTCCCACTTCCCCAGCCCTGAACATTTATATTTTTCTTCATATATTGTAGGTATATGGATACAGTAAAGATACAGCAAAATTATAGGGTTATGGTTATATGGCAATATGGTAGTGATTCTGCAATGCCATTTAGCCATGTGAAAGCTTACCTATTTATTCACTTAGACAACAGGGATCGGAGACCCTGGTGACGAGAGGAAGGAAGAGCAAATACAGCCTGTCCTCTGCCCGCCGTATTGAAGATCGCCCTGCACACAGAAATCCGTAATGTCGAGAGGTAAATGCTCACACAGTGTACACGTGGCCCAGTGGGAACAGGGAGGCAAAGTGTGCACCTGAAGAGGAACCCGAGGGAAGACACTTTGAACAGAAGTGGGTGATGGGCTCAGGATGAAACTGCAGAGCTGGAGAACGATGCTTCCAGAGGAGCAGCAGCAACAGGACGTGTTTGGGGAGCTTCCAGTGTTTCGGTTCTGAGGGAGAGAGATTAAAACAATAAGAAGGCGAGAGGGGGCGAGTTATGAGTGTCCGAGATGTTTCAAACCCAGAGTCTAAAATTCCTTTTTCTTCTCAGCTACAAATAAGACATTAAGTGCTGAAATCCCTTTTGTGGCAAAGAAAAGGATTAAGTGTCGGCGACAAGAGTAGGTGACTGGAAAATGCTGGACTCTTTGGCTGCAGCTCTCTGCTTTTCTTGAAAGAAATATGTCTTGTTTGGATGGCTGGGTGTTGTGGTTTAACTCGGCAAGCCAAAAATCTGGTGAGGGAAATGAAAGTCATGTTGGGAGGACTTTTGATTGAGCCAAGAGTGAGAAGACATTTGTCCGGAGTCGTTCACCACATCCCCAAAGAGAGCACACAATTTCTTCCTTTGAGGTGCCATAAGAAAGAGAACCTTTTTACTTAGGAAGGAAAATTTGATTTCAAGAGTTTGAACATCAACGGATTCATTCCAACCATATTTTGATGAGGTAAGTATGCCCAAATGAGAAACACATGGATCCATTTCCCTGAAGATCCGTACAGATTTCCAATTAGGGAACAAGGAGCTAGAGGCAAATCATGCCTTGGACTTAATCCAAATGTAAATGTTTGAGAAATTGTTTGGCATTTCCATGAGTCTGTGTGGAAATCCAGTTATGGAACTCTGTTATATATTCTGGGAAGTTCTCCCAGAATTGGGGTCTTTTGTGTGTTTGGGTTTATGTGTGCATTTGTGTGTGTGTGTGTGTTCAGGTGTGCTACAAGCCTGTGAAAACCAGAAGAAAACCTCGGGTTTATTCCCTCAGACATTTTTTTCTTTTCTTCTTTTTTCTTAAATACAGAATCTCACTGGCCTCAAACTAGCTAAGAAGACCAGGCTGGCTGGCCCATGGGCCCTGGAGATCCATCCACCTCTGCCTCACCAGCACTGGAAATTCAATACATACCACCATGCCTATTTTTTGTTTGTTTGCTTGTATTTTAACACGGGGTTGAACTCAGGTCCTCAATCTTCCAAGGCAGGCACCTCACCGTCAGAGCCATCAATCCATCCAGAAGCTGACCCTTTTGTGAACAGCCAATTGTGGAAAAGCAGTCCACACAGGGTCGGGGAAACTTACAATGTCGAATACACAATGACCTCACACAGATCATTAAAAAACGTCAGCATCCTAGACAAAGTCCCAAAGACTCTCTGAAAATCCTCTTTTCTTCCCTGTGACAACCCACAATCACAAGTATGTGAGTCAGGTCTCCCTAGGTTATGCTGATCCAGGGGTTAGAGGTTTGTAAGAACAAGAGGGTTATTTCTTATTTGTAATTTATTACATTCGCTGTGGGGAGTCTGAAGTCTTTTCCACATAGGTAGGATACAGGGAAGAACAAAAGCCCCTACACAGGCCACTTCATCCTTGAGGCAACGGGAAAGAAATCACTCATAAAAACCACACATTGCTTCTTCCAACCTCTGCCTACAAGTAGTATAAGCAACATCTACTTGTAGTTGATGGGTCAAAGAAAGTCACAAGTCTAAGTCTGGCATTAGAGAAGAAAGTAATTCCCACGGGGAGTGAGTTGCATCAGGGGGCTGTCCTATAGGGTAGTTCTATCTAAATAAAGGTCCTATCTTTTGTTTATCACATAGTAAGTGTTGGAATTTAGTAGGTATGCAACGGGTATTGACTGGATGGATAACAAGTACATTTTCTGCTCTTCTTTTTGACAAGTAGGCCTGTTGATATTAGTTCTTTATAGGGATTCTAAAGAGATTAAATATTAATTAGCTTAGTTTAATCATTGCATATTGTATTCAGATCATAATACCACATTGATCCTATAAATACATGCAAACACAACTTCTCAATTAAAAACAAAAACAAAAGAAGGTCAAATGACACAGGGGACTTTTCCCCCTAGGTAGGTCAGGCTACTCTGTCCATAGCCATAGATGACCTTGAACTTCTGATGTTCCTGCCTTCATCTCCAAAGTGCTGGGATTACAGAGGTGGCTCACCATACCCAGCTTCTTTCCTTACTGCAGGAGACTGAAAGTTTTGCAGCAGTCATGATGTGGGCGCTCTCCGGGCTGCTCAGAAAAGCTCCCACCCTCACAATGATGCCTCAGGCTCCTCCCTAGCTTCCAGTCCTCTCCCTGCTGGCTTCACTCCCCAGGAGCCCCTTCACCAACAGTACCTGATCTCTTCCTCCATGTTCTCCCGAGGTGAACTTGTTCTGGGATATCCAGTTGCACAGATCCAGGGTGACTTATCAAGGCTCCAACCTTCTCTGTTAGTAGGACAAGGATATTCTTTGCCTACAGTCTTTAGATACCTCAGTTACAGACAATAATGCAACTGTGTTACTCTTGAAAATACCTCTCTGGGAACCAGACTTGGTGGAGCAAGCCTGAAATCCCAGCTCACTGGAAGTATAGCCAGGAGGGTTGTTTGAGGCCAGCCTGAGCTACCTAGAGAGCTGGCATTACAAACAAACCTCTTTGAGAACTTCCTCTACTTTAAGTGACTAATCAGCCCCATGAGGACATCTGACCTGTTTCTGGAGACTCAAAAATTTTCCAATAAATGTTTGCAGATAGGAGATACAAAGACAACCCACACCATTTCCTTACATTTCTCAGGACAACAACATACTGTCAATCAGCTCTAAAGCAGGGAGCTAAGAAGTATCTGCAGTCCATTTAGTTAGCGTACAGCTTCTTCCACATTCTGGAGTTTGAAAGCAATGTTCATCATTAATCAGTCATCTTAGTCATCACTCTGTTAATTCAACACAATGAATAATTTGGAAGCCTTTCTGAGCCTCTTATGTTTCTAGGCATTCTCATTACAATTACACATTTTTGTCTCAATGCTTTTTTTTTTTTCTTCCTTGCTGGATATAGATCACACATACTTGTTTTTCTAGTTCTCGAATGCAGGCTCTGGAGTAGATCCTTTACTAATTAGGCTACTCGAAGGTCCTCATTGTATCCTAAGTTCTTGGGAAACAAGGACATTGAACAGCTGTCACCCACTTGTCCTGCCCTGGTGATCTCCTGGGGAACCTCTTTCAGAGGAGCCCAGAGTGCTTTGACCAGCTGCTATAGGGTGGCCAATGTCATATCCCTGCCTCACAGAAGGGCAGGGTGAAATGCACTCAAGGACGGTGAATGTGTCTAGATGTCTAGATCCCTCTGCTTTTTTTTTTTTTTTTTTAACTTTGTCACCACCCCGCACAGCCTGCAGAAGAATGGCTATCCCCGTGCCTTGATTGTAAAGGCCAACATGTGTGGCTTTCTTGCTCTTTTACTGGCAGTAGCAAAGAGCAACCCAGTGGCCCACACAGCAGGTTATACTATAGGAAAACAGCCGAGACGAGGGCGGGAGGGGATGAAAATACACCTCTTTCTCATGCCTCCCATTCTCCCAGCAGGAGAGACATCTTTGGGAATCACTCCGTGTTGACCCTTCCACCTCTCTAGGGGTTTTCCTCATGATCTCCCGGAGGCCTCAGGATTCTATTTGTGTCTGTGTTTTGTCAGTGCCTCCAGTTCAGCCTATATATCCCAACACAATCTCTGGGCTTCTTCCTCTGAGTCTTCCAGCAGTTACTTCAGACATAACATGTCCAACTTGGCATTGCTGGTTGAACTTCAATCTACTCTGCTTCCCCTGTGCCCTTCTCTAGAGAGATGAAAGGATAATGTTTGTCTGGCCTCAGTCTCCTGTCCTTATAGCACCTTTTCTCAACACCCAGCAACCCTCTCTTTTCCTACTGCTGCTTCTCCTGACTGTGAGCTCTTTAAAGCAGAGTTCATTGTTCATCTCTATGGCCCTCAAAGATGGAGCTAGGAAGCAGCCAGCAGTAAATGTCCATACAAACATGGTCACATAAAAGCTGAATATTATCTCAATGCTTGACATATTAAGAATAGCTTGTTGGTGCTTGCAGAATAGTGAAGAGTAGAAAGGCCTGGACATGGGACTAGACCTCGTTTGGGGAGGAGCAGAGATTATGAAAAAGTTTAGTTCAGGACCTAGAACACAAAATCTGAGAGTCATGATATCAATAGGCCTTGTCTTGAGTAAGTAGTGAGTGCTGGTGAGGTCTGGTTTGATGGTGCAGAAGACAGAGCCTAGGGGAAAACAGCTTAAGATCCAAGTCCCCAGACAGCTTCAGAAATCCATGTTGAGAAAAAAAAGGAGCTGGATAGAGCCTCTGAAAGGTTCTAGAAAGGATCAACAAAGGGTGTGGCTTACAGCCTAACTCATGAGGTAAGTGCATAATTCTCATGTGTCCCTACACAGGCACAAAGGGTACACACACTTCCCCCAGTGTAGATTCTCAGCATAGAATGGCCCAAATGCACAGGCTAGCTAGGCTGTCCATAGAGAAATCTGTGACTGGCACCCAGAATATGGCACTGGATCTGCTTAATTCCCTCCCACATTAGTCTGGGAATCCCAGAAGCCGGAAGGCACTGTGACACTGGATGGGAGTTAAGAGGGGACCCCACTTAGACAGTTCTAATTTGCTCCACAAGCCTGGCTTTCCCTTATTTAAAGCATTGGTCAAAATCAGCCAGATAGTAGAACTGGCCTGGAAGCCAGGTGACTGCTGTTTGCGAATTCTATTCCACTGTTGCAACTCTTCTGCAAATCTGAAACTATTCCTCAACAAAAGGCTTCCTGGAAGGACCTACTAAAACTAGTTACTACGTAGGACCTAACTCCTCACTGGATTTGCCATGCTGAATTTTAAGTAAGCCTTGCATTGAAAGGAAATTAAATGAAGTAGGCTGTATTCTTATTAGCTATTAGTACAGAGGACATCAAGCTGGCTGGGTCTGGCGGAGAGGAAAGAGAGTTGTATACTGACTAGGTGACTAGTGGCCATTCCCAGGCAATTCTCTTGGGGCAGAGTCAGGAGATGCTCACTCTAACTCTTATAATCCCATCCTAGTGCCAGGCTGTGATGAGCGATTGGCAGGAGCTCTGCAAAGAAAGGGGGTGGGGCCTGGGGTGGGGGTTGGGGTGAACACTGTCGGACTGTGGGGTTGACATCAACCCTTTCCTTGCTTCTTCTCTCCTTTCAAACTTGTCAGCCCCTGCCTGTCCTTACATGACCCACAGAGCCTGTTTCTTAGGGCTGCCAGTTGACAACTAAGGTTGCCAACAGAAGCCAGTTGCTCTCTTCTGACGTGGGAACTTACAACCTGTCATCTTTTGTTGTCTGTGGAGCAGAGAACACAGCCAAGCCAGCAGGGAGAGTCTGTCATTGAAGTCTAGATCCCACTGAAGTGACGTAATGTATTCACACACATCAAGGAAGAGTAATGAATCCTTCCTTACCACTGCTACTCTTGCTGGGCTCCCAAATAGCCAGGGAAAATCACAAGGGCAGTGACAGGGGGAGGAAGGACCTAAGGCACTGTTTGTTTTCCCTAGGTCAAAAAATCCAAACAACGAGATGGAGAACAGTGGCCACAAAGTGGGCTATTCATCCATCGGCACATTTCCCAGCATCCTTAACATCACGCCCTGACTTAGGGGAGAGCCAAGCCCCTAGATATATTGGAAGTAGGATACAAGAAAGCAATTGATTGAGAAGGTTACAAACAACTTGAGATAGAGAGCGAGTGCAGAGAATGCAATAATTAGAGGAGGGAAGGATGAAAAAGAAGATCCAGCAAAAATCAAGTACAAATTACAAGTCCCCCTGGAGAATTGTTGCATCAACACTAGACTGAATGGTCAACAAATAACCAGTGAATTCAGCAAGAAAGTTTGAATTATCCTAAACTGGGGCAGGCAGCACAGATGCCTGGAATTTCAATGTCCATTTGTTTAGGCAGCTCTTGGGTAACTTTCTTCTTCTTACCTTCTGTCTGTGAACTTCCCTTTGACTGGGCAATGACAAGAAACTCAAGGTGGAATCAGTTTGAGATGCTTGGAGACCTGCCAGGACCTTATGATACGTTATTGTTCAAGAAAGCCCTGGAGAGTATGCTGACTCCACCGTAAAGCCTTACTCACAGAGAGCAGGCATGCAAGTGTCAAGCCATTGAGGAGGAACCAGTGAAAAGAGGGTTCCCTGAAGGGTGAGGACAGGCTAGAGCAACATAGCTGAGGTCTCCACGAAATCTGCAGAGAAACTGTGGGACGGCCAGATACAATCTTCTTCAGGAAGAATAAGCCAGGATTACACCTGTACACTTGTAGACATTGTACACTGTGGGGCCCCGAGTACCACCTCTCATAGCAAAGGAAAACTTACCCTGGCTGTCTATCATACAGGAGTATTTGAGGCTCAATTGCAATGATATACCAAAACTTATGATCATGATTGTCAGCCAATAAGATACCTCTGACTTTCACCAAAAACAGTTTCATCTATCCTTGGCCTCTGAGACTGATCTTATCGGTTGTGAGAGTAAGTGCATGTTTTATTTTTGCTGTTATTGGCGAGGACTGTACTTCCCCTTTTAATTTGCTCAGACTGCAGTCATTTGGGTGACTAGTGAGACTGGTGGCCATGGCGTCCTTACAGCAAAATCCCTATTGATATTTCTCCATCGATCTCTCTTCCCACATCCATCACAATTGCTTTAAAGTACCTACAAATTGACCAAAACTCC